AGACAGTCTGAACTTCAAACCAAGAATGATCAAATGAAATAAAGAAGGCCACTATATACTAGTTAGAGGAAAAATTCAAGAGGAAGAAATAACAATCATAAATATGTATGCACCAAACACGGGAGCACCCAACTATATAAGACAAACTTTAATAGACCTGAAAAATCTAATATCCAATACAGCAATCATAACACCCCCTTATCCCAAAAAGATAGATCAGCTAAACAAAAAATTAGCAAAGAAGTAGCACAAATGAACCAGAGCTTGGAACAAATGGAGTTGGTAGACATATGCAGAGTGTTTCCCCCAACCACAGCGGAATACACATTTTTTTCAGCTGCACATGGATCATTTTATAAAATAGACCACATACTGGTCCATAGGTCATGCTTAAGTATATGCAAGAAAACAGAAATTATCCTATACATATTATCTGACCACAATGCAATGAAACTGGAAATAAATAACAAAAGAAACCAGAAAAACCCACTAAATACACGGAAATTAAACAAACACTCTACTCAGCAATCAATGGATTACAGATGAAATTAAACAAGAAACTCAACAATATCTACAATTCAATGAAAATTCCTTCACAACTTATCAGAATTTATGGGATGCAAAGAAAGAAGTTCTTAGAGGGAAATTCATAGCTGTGAACTCACACATTAGGAAAACAGAATGGGAACAAATAAACACCCTAACGCTACACCTCTGACATCTAGAAAAGGAAGAGCAAACCAAACCCAGAGCCCAAAGACAGGAAGAAATCATAAAGATTAAAGCAGAAATTAATTCAATTTAGATAAAGAAAACAGTTCAAAGAATTAATGAAACAAAAAGTTGGTTCTTTGAAAGATTAAATAAAATTGATAAGCCCCTAGCCAACCTCATCAAAAAGAGGAAAGAAAAAATTCAAATACAATAAATAATGAAATGGGTGTAACTACTACAGACCCAGTGGAAATTCAGAAGATTATCAATAGCTACTTTGAGAATCTTTACCCTCACAGAATAGAAGACACAGATGAAATGGACAGATTCCTAAAAAGGTACAAATTACCAAAACTGAATCAAGAAGATATAACAACTCTCAATAACCCAATAACAGCCA